AGTATTTGGCTGACCTTCTTTCTTTGTTGTGATTTTTTTCTCTCTGGTGGCATCTATTTAGCCTTAGGAGTGCTTCCATCTGGAGCAGCCCCTTTAAAATATCCTGTAGAGGTGGTTTGTGGGAGGCAAATCCTCTCAACTTCTGCTTCTCTGGAAATTATTTAATCCCTCCTTCAAATTTAAATGATAATCTTGCTGGATACAGTATTCTTCATTCAAGGCCCTTCTGTTTCATTGCATTAAATATATCATGCCATTCTCTTCTGGCCTGTAAGGTTTCTGTTGAGAAGTCTGATGATAGCCTGATGGGTTTTCCTTTGTAGGTGATCTTTTTTCTCTCTTTCATTGCCTTTAACACCCTGTCCTTTCATCTTTGCCATTTTAATTATTATATGTCTTGGTGTTGTCCTCCTTGGGTTCCTTGTGTTGGGTGATCTGTGGGCTTCAATGGTCTGAGAGACTATTTCTTCCCCCAGCTTGGGGAAGTTTTCAGGAATTATTTCTTCAAAGACACTTTCTCTCCCTTTTTCTCTCTCTTTTTCTTCTGGTCACCCTATTATGCAAATATTGGTTCATTTGGATTGGTCACACAGTTCTCTTAATATTCTTTCATTCCTGGAGATCCTTTTATCTGTCTCTGCCTCAGCTTATCTGTATTCCTATTCTCTGATTTCTATTCCATTAACAGTCTCTTGCACCTCATCCAGTCTGCTCTTAAGTCTTTCAGTTGATTGTTTCATTTCTGTTATCTCCCTCCAGACTTCAATCCTTAGCTCTTGCTTATTTCTCTGCAGGTCCATCAGCGTAGTTATGACTTTTATTTCGAATTCTTTTTCAGGAAGATTGCTTGTATCTATCTTGCCAGGCCCTCTCTCTGGCATTGTTTGAGTGATTTGGGACTGGACCAGGTTCTTCTGCCTTTTCATGGCGATAGAAGTGATTGCTGGCAAGTGGTGCATGTGTCATCTGGAAAAACAAAAGTCCCTTCTTGCTTGCTGGTCACCTTGCCCTTCTCTGCTGCCTGTGCCAGTTACCTGCATTCCAGGAGCAGTCTCTGGGTTAATTCCCTGAGCTGCTGTGTGTGGGGCGGCCCTCGGGATGGCCTGAGGCACTGCCAGGTGTCAGAGTTGCGCTGGGTGTGTTCTTCTGCCAGAACAGTGCCCCTCCGTGATTTCCGGACTTTTCCCTGGCTTCCTGTGCCTGTGCCAGGCAGCTGCATGGTCGTGGTAGACTCAATCTGGCCCAGTTAGCTGGACACTGGGAGAAAACTGTGTGGTTGTTGTGGGCAGGCCTGCTCCCCAGCTTGTCCACAGCAATGGAGGGTAAGCCGGTTTGCTTGCAGTGCTGGTGAGGGGCAATGAATGACAGGCTGCTTATCACCATGAGGGTCTTCAGAGCTTTGTTGCCACCCAGGAGGTTAGGGCACCTGAAGTTCCTTAAGATTCCCAGCCTGCTGGGCTGAGTGTGCCGGCACGATTTTGTCCACCTGTTAAACTGTTGTCTCTTTAAGACTTTTAAAGCACCCCCTTTTCTTTTGTCCCTGGGGAGCCGGCCGAGGGGACCCCCTCACAGTCACCATCTTGAATTTTACTTTCCGTTTCTCTAATATCCAGTACACCATGCAATGTGTGTCTCTGCTCCCAGTGCAGATTACTAGGGCTGGTTATTTAGCACTCCTGTGCTTCTACTCCCTCCCCACTCTGATTCTTTTCTTCCCACCATTGAGCTGGGTTGGGGGGAGTGCTCCAGTCCCACCGGGTCATGGCTTTGTATCTCACCCTTTTCATGGGATACTGAGTTCTCACAGATGTAGATGTAGCCTGGCTATTGTACTGTATCTTCTGGTCTCTCTTTTAGGAATACTTGTGTTTACTGTATTTTCAGAATGTATATGGTTTTGGGAGGAGATTTCCACTGTCCTACTCATACTGCCATCTGGAGCCCTCGAATCCCTCCTAAAATTGGCTTTCCATGATGATTTGCTCAGTTTCCCCTTTCTTCATGTTTTATATCTCTGCTTTAGATTTTATTTTGTGGTTACCATGAGGTTTGCATGAAGCATCTGAGAAGTGAAATAGTCCTCTTTGTGCTGTTAGCTAGTATCTTCATTTGCCTATACAGGTTCTGTCATTTAGTGAGTGTTCTCCTTTTATATTTTTGCTGTCAGAAATTATTACTTTATATGCTTTGAGTCTGTTACCAAATTGTAGTCACTATGGTTACTTTTAATGCTTTTTCCTTTAATCTTTATGCTATAAGTAAGTGTTCAACACCCCATGCTAAATAGAATTAGTTTTCTGATTGTGTCTCTCACATTATTCAGAGTTTTGTGTACTTTTGTCTTTTCATTTCAGAAAAGATCACCTTTCAGTATTTCTTGATGAACTCCCTTAGCTTTTGTTTGCCCAGAAAGGCCTTTATTTCTTCATATCTGAAGCATAACTTTGCTGGATAGAATATTCTGGCAGTTTTTATCTTGGAATATTTTGAATATGTCATTCCATTCTCTCCTGGCCTGCAGAGGTTCTGCTGAGAAATTTGCTGATAGCCTAAGGGGGGAAGAGTTCCTTTGTAGGTTATTTCTTGTTTCCCCCTTGCTGCCTCTAGGATTATTATTGACGTTTGACTGCTTTAGTATAATGTGCTCTGGATAAGGTCTTTTGTGTTGGAATAATAAAGTGATCTGTTAGCTTTATGGATTTGTATGTCCAATTCTTTCCCCAAGTTTAGGAAGGTCTCAGCTATTATCTCTTTAAATAAACTCTCTGCCACCTTCTTCTCTCCTTCTGGTATACCCATTATACTTAGGTTGGCTAAACTAATGGAATGTGATAGTTCTCCATAGGGTTCCTTCACTTTTAAAAAGTCTTAGTTCAGTCTCTTCCACCTGAGTCGTATCTAGATTCTCATCTTCAAACTTGGCTATTTGCTCTTGCATATGATCTGCTCTATTTCCAGTGCTTCCTAATTCATTCTTCATCTGATTTATTGAGTTCTTTAGTCCCAGAATTTGTTTTGTTATTTTTAAAAATTTCTGTCTTTGGTAAAGTACCCCTTCTGTTCATTAATTTTATTCCTGAGTTCATTGAATTCTTTTGGAGTTTTCTTATTTATGTAATTTCTTCATAACAGCTCTTTTGAATTCTTTATCAGATTGCAATCTTCTGTATCTTTGTGTTTGGCTGCTGTAGAATTTTCTTTTTCTTTTTGTGATAGTGTATTACCATGACTTTTCATGGTGTTTGATGACATGTGCCTTTGCTGGTACATTTGAAATAACTAACACCTTTTTTATTTAGATAAAGCCTTCTTTACTTTGTACACAGTCCAAGTTTGGCAATTAAAACTTTCTTTCATTTTCCAGCAGGTGGCACTATAGCACACATTTTTGGGTTCTCTTAAGGGAGCTGCTCAGTGGCTGCATTTGAGAGAGCGCTCAAAAAGATGACGAAACAGGGCTGGCAGCAGAGTGGGGGAGGCTTGTGCCCGGCCCTGGGAACTTCGGGTTGCCCGTGGCCCTGGTAGGGGGAGCCTCAAGGGAGGGAGTCTCAGAGGCCCTCAGTGGGCCTCTTGCTGACTCGTGGGACTGACAGCAGGGAATAACAGGTGACCTGCTGCTTCTCTGCCCTCCTCCTCTGCCTTTCCCTCCCCTGTCAGGTGTCTGGCTCCAGAGGAGCAGGCAGCACTAAAGAGCAAGGAGACCCCCCAGCTGTCGCCTGTGGGGCCAGGTAGGCTTCCACTCCTCACTTCCCTTTGCCAGAGAGTCACTGGTGCTACTGGGTCACCTCTGCTGGTGCCTCCAGGGTCACTGGGCTCCTTAGTGCAGTATAGAAATCAGTTTTGTTATTTGTTTCCCTCCTTTTCTATTTAGCCTTCAAGGAGCGCATCCTTCCCCAGGGAGGGAGACATGTCAGCCAGGCATCTCAGAGACACACGAAAAGCCCAGTGCCATAGTGTGGGACAGATACTGCGGTGCATGAGCGCTGTGAGTGTAGTTAGAATGTTTTCTATTATATCAAGTAGTTTCTATGCAGAACATTTGAATACCACTTTAACAGATATTCATGGATTTATTTTGCCAGCAAAAATGGGAGATTTTTTTGCAAAGTAACCAAAAATAGAAGGAAATAACACCAGACAGATGAGCTAAGGCAGTAGTCCCTCACTGGTGTCATCTGTCCTTCTTGGAGTCTGCCCTGACCACTTCATGGTGTGTGGGCCTGTTGTCCAGAGATGGAGTACAGGCTTAGCACTTTCTTGCATCTCAGCTTCTTCAATGTCTGTACATCCTTTTAGAAAATTTAAGTCAAATCTTTAGCAAGTTGTATTAGTATTTCTTAGCCCACTACATAGCGTATCTGCCGTACCCTGAGAATCATCACTGCTTTGTATTACCCAGACAGCATGTCCCTGGGGAGTTGAAGACAGGCTGCAGTCACTGTCAGGTAAACACTGGAGGGGGATATTTAAGAAGGCCAGAGACAGGGCAGACCTTTATTTTGCATGATTCCATTTAGAAAATAACAGGTGCTCCTTGTGGCAAGTGTGTTAAATGTAATTTCTAAGCTGGATTGTGCTATTTTTTACATGTTAATATCACATGTATTACTGTTGGACTCACCGACATATATGTAACATTGTCACTTCTAGGGAATATGTAGAAAAATGTTTCTGTATCAAATACTTTGTGTGTTTTACTAAGCAATGAAGTACTGTTTCCCATATTGTGGAGTAAATGTTTCACAATGAGCTGTCGTTTTTTTTCTGTTGTCAAGTCTTAAGACATATTACCATCTTAATGACACTGACCTGTTTTTAGAAAGCTGTTATAATTCCAGTATTTTTATATGAAATCATTTTCATTCAGACAATTCTGTGCACTAAATTTTCTCTCTGTTGTGCCTCATATCATCAACGTATTCTAACAAGTCAGCAGGAAAGACTTTGGGCTGCATCTTTATCTCATTAAACATAGCTGAGTTTTTATTGAATCATAGCAATACAGTTAATTCTGTATGTTTCTTTCCTTCAGTGAACCTGAAAAGTTGATCCCAAAGAAAAGGGTACTTACAGAATATGCAGAATATTATAAAGATATTTCTAAGGTGTAGTGTTCCTCTCCCACAAAACTATCCCAACATGTGACATAAAACATGTTTAAAATTAATGAGTCAATAAATAGAATAGAAAATAAGAAGGGATAGCTGCCTGAATGAGAAAACATGTAGTATCTTAGTAAAGAAAGCACAGGATTAGACTAAAGAACACAGATGTCACCCCCACAATTATAAAGAGAGGAGCTGCCCGAGGTAGGAGTGGACCCAGGGCTTCCTCAGGCTCACAGTTGTGGCCACCAGGACAGCAGGGCTCTGGGGGTGCTCATGGTAGGATGACAAGTGAGTTCATCTGGACCAAATACTCCCCAGTCCACAGCACTTCATTTATACCAGAACACAAGCAACAGGGGATCATCCCTGGCTGACAGTGAGGTGCAGGGGCCTTGGGTTGGAAAGGCAGGGAAATTCCCGGGAGACTAGAGCCACCAGCCCCAAGGAGGGGCATTCGGCCCTCATGGGCATTACCTCCCAGCGATTCCTTCTGCAGAGATCAGAGTGTGGGGTCTTCTAGTTCCCCACTACAGATGATGCCTTTATGGGTCCATCTTCATGAAGGTAACTGATCTGAACATGTGCACAGTGTCCAAGCCTTGTGTGCCGCCGCACAGGTTTTCTGCAGAGTGCCCTGAGCCTTCCTAAGCACAGTAAGGTGTAGACACAGCATTCACACTCCTGTGTCTGCACCCGAAGAACCTGAGCACCAGGTTTAGCAGAAAGTGGTTGCAGGTTGGTGGTGCACCCAGACACCTTGCAGAAGCATGAAAATGCAGGACATGAGTGAATCCTGAGGGCTGATGGACTGTTCAGTTTCCTCATTATGGTGGAGGTTACGTGGCCACATGTGTTTGTCAAAACTAATAGAGCTGTGCACTATTTTTTAAAGGGTGAGTTTTACTCTGTGCAAATTATTCTTCAGTACACGTGTTCAAATCTTTTAATTTAAAACCAGAAGGATCTTTCCCCTAGGTCTCCATGTATCTCTTTTTTTGTTGTTATTGCTTATTACTCCCTCAGCTGCAGCAGCCTGCATGTTAACTGTATCATGGTGTTTTCTCCTAGCAGATGGTTGCGGTGCTCCCTTGGCATTCTTGCCTCCAGCGTCCTTCAGCAGCTCCTTAGAGCTGTCCAGCATCTCAGCCCTGGGTTTGTAAGGCTTGGTGCAGAGATGGTGAGTCTGCCTTTTCCCTCCTATTCATACTTGGTGAATCTCATTGATTTTCTTTAATAAAATACTTACAGTTTTATGACTGGTGACTTGAGGAAGGAAATAAAATTCCAAATAAGCAGACTGGCTCACATTTGAACCTCCAGGGTGTATCTGACATGAGTAAGTTAATCACTTTGTCACTCTGGCCCCGCTGGGCCTCTGTCAGTACCGTCCTGAGGGCACTGAAAGAAGTCACCCCTGACTTAAGAGTGAACTCTGTACAGTCATTTCCAAATCTAAGTATTGAAGGCCTTAGAATTGTTCATGTCCTTTTGTTTATCTTGAATTTTTTTTTCCTACCACATGTATACATTGCTTCAGTACATTATCCCAGATTATTAAATGATTTCTATTTGGACAAGAAAATTAACAGAATAAGAAGCATCTTAAAAAGGTTAGGCTTTGAATATTCTTTAACTATAACTCTTAGTTTATTCCTTATTGTGCCTGACTTGATTCTCTCACTAGCATCCATTGAGGAAGAATAAAGATAATAATGGCTTATTCATGCTCCATTGTGAATATTCTATTTATATATGTAAGCATAGCTTTGAGGACTATGTTTCTTTCCCATATGCTAAACAGAAGTATAGAAAATGGAATGTTATCTTGCTGTATAAATAACAGGAAACTTCAAAACACCATATGCATGGTGACAGGGCATCACCCTGGCATTTTCCAAGCCAAAACTGAGGTGAAACTTCTGTGAGTGAATTCTCAGGAAATTGAATTTACATTATGAACAAAAATATTTGTCAGAATGTAAGAAAAATACAACAAAAGTGTTAACACTATTAGTATTATGGTTCCCTATTTCTTTATTGCTAAAAAATCTCTGGCATGCCTGTTTTTTGTATCTCCCTGAACCAGTTTCACAGTCTTGCTTGTTGCAGCCCCGAGATCAGTCCCGGTGTGCTGTCCTGTTTTTCTCTTTTGCTTCTGTGTCAGCTACTTCCCCTTAGCTCAGTCACTTCCACGTGTGTTTTAGAATTGGGTTCCCAAGTTACTATGAAAAAGAACAAGAGCCAATTGAGACTGAATTGAGATTTACTGAATTAACGAGTGAGCTCCAGGACTGCCTGTCTCCTCACTTGCGCGGAAACTGTAAGGACAAGGAGGTGGCCCGTCTGGCCCCGGCTCACCTTTTCCTGAGGGCAGGGCTGCTGGCACACCCACTAAACGTTGGATCCCCAGCCTTGAGTTCTGCCACCTCTCCTTCAAATGGGAACTGTCATATGAAGCCCTGGGGAAGCCCCCGGGGCCAGAGCAGCTATGAACAGGGCCACTCTCCCAATGACTACAGAGAACCCAGGGCCTGGAGACTGTGTCATCTCAGCCACTTCCTGCATCAGGAATGGGACAGGAGCAGACACCAGGCAGAACCACCGGGGGTTTTTTCCTAACAAATCTCAAACTTGAACTAGTTTAATGTCTCTGCACCAAACCTAACCTCCCCTCCCACTTGTATTTCTCACACCAGGACACATCTCACACTCCACGCTCCCCCAGATGGCTCCCCCAGATGGCTCCCCCAGGATGTCCCTGACCAGGAAGGCAGCACCTGGGGAACCGGCACCACGGACCATGTGGCAGAGCCCGCTGTCTTTCTGGCAGGTAAGTCAGGAGCACAGGAGGCAGAGAGCATGGGCTGTAGGCCTCTGCTGAGGCTGGGCATCCTGGTCACCCACCTGGGAGCAGGGCCAGGTATGGGCCCACGGTAGCCATGGGGAAGCTGTGGGAGGTCATCAGGCTGGAGAGAGGAATGAGAGGTCCAGGTGGCCATGGGGCTGAGGCCAGTGGGACTGGCCCAGCATCGCAACCCTCTGGGATGAAGGGCTGAATCGGCTCTGGGTTCAACAGTGACTCCTCAAGAGGCCGGTCCATGTGGAAGTCACAGATGTGGGGGCACCCGGGTGGGCCTTGGGGGCAGGACACCCAGTGCACTGGGGAATCGGCAGCTCCAAGGGGTGGGCAGGCACGGGAGCTGTGAAGAAGTATGAGTGCAGGGGGGCCCAGGGGCAGCAAGCAAAGGGCAGAAGAAGACAAAGTCACCTCCCGGTCCCAGCTCAGCTCACCTTCCGGAGGAGGGACACAGAGACCTCCCCACAGAGGCCCTCCTCCTCATCCCCCACCGCTCAGTGGGCTCCCTTCTAGTGCTAACTGTCTGGGCAGCACTCCCTCCCGAGGAGGGGAGGCAGCAGGGATCAGGCAAAGGCTCCCCACAGGGCATGCTCCCACCCAGTGGGCTCGGGCAGTGAGTGGCTGAAGGAAGCCCAGGGCGGTCGGGCAATCAGCCCCAGGGAAGGAAGCGTACACGCCAGCCTGCAGTGGTTCAGGAGCCCAGCAGGGGCAGAAGGGCACAGGCCCCAGGATGTGGAGGGGCTCTGGGCCCAAGCAGAGCGAAAAAGGTGGGACAGGAGCTGGCAAGACACAGGTTAACAACCCCAAGTGTGTGACGCCCTCAAGCGTGTGATACCTGTGGGCCAACAGGACCTGGCTTCTCTGAGGTCTGGCGGACCTGCCTGGGCAAAGTGGCTCCCACTGCCAGTGAGGGGACACCAAATGGACAAGAGAAGTGGATTCAAGGCAGCGGGGCAGGCAGCAGGGGGCCGGGAAGTGGTCGGGCGGCCCCAGCACTACAGAGTGCTGCTGACATGAGAACTCACCAGGGGCGAGCATAAACCCACGCTGCTCGAGCTGAGGTCAGAGGGGAATGGTGGCCACAAGGCCGGGGGCCAGGGGCGCCTGAGTGAGGCGCCGACACCATCGGCCATCAGCCCCTAGTGCTCCCCCACCATTCCCGCCCAATCTCCCTCCTAGGCCCGCTCTGCAGCCCTCCAGCATCTACCTCCCCAGGAAACCTTATGACCCCAAAGTCCATCCCAACCCATCCCTCCCCAACCTGAGTTCCCACAGCCTGGATGCCCTGCCTCACCACAGGACGAGACCCACAGGGACAGGACAGGCCTAGGACAATGACCTGCTCATGCCTGGTGCTAAGAAAACACTCACTGGAGGCACCAAGGAGCCAGTCACCAATCCCCGGGTGTGAGGGGGTCATGCCTTCTAGGCCACCCCAACCCACCCACAGCCCCAGGCTCTGCTCATGGAAGGCACCTCAGCATCCCCAGGCTCCTGGTCCAGCCCACCCAAGTCAGGAGGGACTCCCACCATGGCTCACCTGGCCACCAGCACAGAGGCTCAGGCCACGGGGCACCCTATCTGGGAGGCTGCAGTGCGCTGGTGTGGAGGGTACAGGAGGAAGTGCCCCAGCAGGTCCAAGGCCTGAGGGGAGACGTCAGGTAGCACCTCCCTGAGTGGAATGGACACCTGATCCTTGAAAAAGATCTTGTAGTCGGGCAGCTCTGTAATCTCCTGGGGACAGAGGTACTTCGGGCTGGCACCTACCCACCAGCAACCCTGGCTCAGCAGCTTAAGCTCCCAACCTGCTACTTCTCACTCACAGCCCCCCATCACGTGCCCCCCACCCCTTGGGTCATTATGGCCCTGGTAACCAGTGTGGGGCCAGGGGGCATGGGGCCGCAAGAGATGGTGCAGGAGGGGAGTCACGAGCCGCCGGAGCCTGAAGGGCACCTGCCCCACCCCTCCCAACAGCAAACGCCCTGCAAACTGGCCACACTTGAGGGCTGGGGGTACCAAGATGCAAAGAACACAGCACAGCTGCTCGATGTCATTCTCCCCTGGGAAAAGGAGGGACCCATTCAACAACTCCCTAGGATGCAGCCCACGGCCCTGTGGACAGACAACCCACACAGATCAAAGACTCCACCACAGATGCAGGGCTCCCCCACAATCGTCCCGGCCACCACAGATGCGGGGCTCCCCCACCATCATCCCCCCACCATGGACACGGGGCTCCCCGACCATGGTCCCCCCACCACAGACGTGGGGCTCCTCCACCATTGTCCCAGCTACCACAGATGTGGGGCTCCCCGACCACTGTCCCCCCACCATGGACTCGGGGCTCCCCCACCATGGTCCCACCACCACCACGGACATGGGGCTCCCCTACCATCATCCCCCCGACCACGGATGCGGGGCTCCCCCACCACCATCCTGGCCACAACGGACACGGGGCTCCCCACACCAGCTCCATCACCTTACATTACAGGACACACATCTTCTCACACAGCCTCCACAAAGCTCCCCACTGGGCCAAGGCATGCACAAAGCAGCAGACACTCATCATCAGGGACTCATAAACAATCAAAGACCTCCAGCCTAGAACACAGGGCATATCCTCCTCCAAGCAGCATGCAGGCCTCACCTCCAAAACACACAGCAGCCCCTCAGCAGCGCAGAGACTCCTGGGAGCACGCCCTCTGGGACACAGCCACCTCCTCACATCAGGATGCAGCGCCCTGAAGCAGCTCCCAAACCTCAAACTCTTAGACATATACAGCCATCCTGTCCCAAGGACAGGCTCAGATACCCAGGCCCTGGACAGCTCAGGGGCATTCCATCTGGGACGTCATCCCATATGTACTAGCTTAGATGCCCCATGTCTTGTGCCTCAGACCACCTCCCCCACCGCAACCCAGAAGCTTCCCACTCCAATCTCACCTGATCCCTATCTAGCTCAAAACTGTCACAGGCAGGGACACTGTCCCTGAACTCCTCAGAGACACCCAAACTGAGGAAGACATCTGGAGAAATTTAGAGCTCACAGCAGGAAAACACCTCCACACAGCAGAGCGGCCTCAAAGCCCAGGAGAAAAATGTGACCCCATAACCCACACTCCCCTTGCCCCACCCTCAGGAATCTCACCATAGGCCGACCCCCTGTTCCCACTGCCAGGCCCTGTACAGGAGCTCGGGGGCTCAGTACCACCTGTGAGGAAGAGGGGGTGCTCATAGCCAGGTCACCTGTCTGACACAAGGCTGCCCTGGAAGGTCACCCAAGTCCCACCCCAGCCCCACGAGAATCCAGAAGCATCTCGTCCACAATGAGAGGATCAAGGCCTGTCAGTTGCCAGGCCCTGTCTGGGAACTGGCCCTCCCTACCTGGTGGCCACCTGGTGTGTGGAGAGGCAGGTGTCATCTGGGGAGAAGACCCAGGCCAGGCCAAAGTCTGCTATCTTGAGCTGGCCTGAGGCACTGATGAGCAGGTTGGCTGGTTTCAAGTCCCGTGGGCACCAAAGGAGGCTTCAGTTCCCCAGGAGGCCCCAGAGGGCCTCGGCTTGGAAAGGTATGTCAAACTGAGCACCCAGCTCAGCCCAGGCCCCACCCTCTCCAGGCCCAAGCCGCAGGCCTGGACCCCTCTGACCATACTTTCTCCAAGGGCAGGCCCCCAGGCCCTCCAGCCCACACTGACTGACCCGCTGCACGATGTTGCTGGTGTGGCAGGAGGCAACGCCCTTGAGCAGCATTTGCAGGTAACGTGGCACACCACCTCACCTCAGCCAGATCTGACAGCATGAACTCAAAGGCCAGCACAAAGCCCACGCCATGTAGGAGCCTTTAGCTGTACTTCCTGCAGGCAGGCACCCGGTCAGCCTCTGGGCTCACATGGCTCGGACTCCCCTTGCAGCCTCCAGCCACAACCTAGAGACTGGGTAGGGCAGGGCTGGTTCTGGAAGGAGCTCCAGGCAGAGGGACAGCAAGCACAATGAGGGTGCAGGAAGAGGGCTGGAGGGACACAAGCCTGTGGGCCCTCGGGGGAAGGACGCCTGCTTTTCTGTGCTCCTGGAGCCTAGATGGTGCTTGGCAGAGACGCTTAAGAAGTGTACCGGATAAATGGAGAGAGAGGCTGGAGACAGGCAGAAGCAGTAAAGAGAAGCCCCTGGGGCATTTCAGGCAGGGAGGGGATGACCTCATCCACACAGAACTTCTAACAGGCTTGTGTCCCTCCAGCTCTCTTCCTGCCCTACCCAGTCTCCTGTCCTCATCAGAACCTGGACATACGCATTGATGTGTTCATCTATCAGGCATCTCTGTCCCTGTGCTTGGTGCTCCTTAAGGTCGCTTGGGGCCTGCCGGGCTTTGCTCCTGCTCACTGTGTGAGGGTGCACTGGCGCCAAGAGGGAGATCCTGAAACCTGTCTTGTGAGGTGGTGAACTCACAAGAGCAATGTAGGGTAACAGTTAGCTCAGCCTGCAGAGCCTGACAGGAGGGCAACAGGAGGCAGTTACCACTATTGTTAGAAATCACTAGACGTTATAAAAGAAAAAGTATATGTTAGTGAATGAATGAATGAGTAAATGAAAAAATGAGTGTGTGAATGGGAGAGGGAAGGAGAGAGGAACGCAGTAACTGGGTGAATGAGGGTGGCCAGGTGGAGAAGTAATTGAGAGGATAAATTGTAGGGAATGCAGGAGGGAGGAAGGGCCTCCAGGGCCCAGCCTCACTCATATACTGATTATCCTCCATCTCCTGAAGGGCCTTGATCTCCCGCAGGACCTGGTTGGGGGGATGCCATCCTCCAGCTGCTGCAGAGCCACCTTCTTGAGGGCAACGATCTCGCCAGTCTGCGAGGGACAGAACACAGACACTGCCACCCATCCCGGCTAGCAAATACGGTAGAAGACGAGAAAGGCCCCATCTGGATCTCACACAGAGCTCTCAGGCCTTCGAGGGAGTGGGAAGCACCCCCACCCCCCACCCCGTTCTGGAGGCAAAGCAGGTCTAGCCTGGGACCCCGCTGTCGCAGCACTTGGCAAACGGCTCGCACACTTTCACGCCAAGCTGCTGGGGGACCCTCGCAGGATAACCACCGTAGCATCACTGCCGGGTGGGCGGCTGGCTACAGCCTGAACGACCTCCCATTGAAGGAATCAAAGGTGGCGGGCTGCAGGGAAGCAGGCATCAGGGGGCCAATGTGGGTTCCCCAAACGGTGGGCCCCAGATCGGAGGGAATGAACCCGCGGCTCGCTTACCCCTTGAAGACGACGCCGTGCGCACCCTGTCCGAAGCAGCCCAGGATGCAGTACTAGTCCAAGGCGGGGAGCCGCCCCTCCCGTGCCCCGCCTCCCTCGCCCGACGCGGCTGCCTAGCAACGGGGGAAGGGAGGGCCCTTCGGGCTCCGGACCGGGCGGCTGTGGGCAGCTGGGGCTCGCGTCGGGACCTCGTCTGCACCCTCCGCTGGGCCCCTGCGGTCACGCCGCGGTGCGCTTCAATCGGCAGATGGGCTCCGCGCCAGGACAGCGGCAGCGCAGCAGCCAAGCAGCAATGGCGGCCGGAGCCCCTCCCCCCGCACTCCCAGCGCACGACAAGAGCGACGCCATGGCACGCATGGGAGGCGGGGCTGCGCAAACAGGGTCGGGCGGGGTTGCACCGCCCGGGGCGTGGCCTCATCTCCAAGGGGCGGGATCGAGCGGTGGGGCGGGAGGGCCGCTGGGGGCGTAGGCCACGTAGCCGCTGGACTGAGCTTGGCAGCCGGGAGGGCGGGGCTGTACCTCCAGCGGAGGCAGAACCGAACGGTGAGGCGGGGCCATGCAGCCAAGGGGCGGGGCCCGGGGAGGGAAGGAGCCGCTGGGAGCATTTCCGGGGAACAGCACTGCCAGGGGCGGGGCCTCTTGGGACTGGATGGTGTTTCCCCGGGCAGGCGGGGCCGTCCACTTGTAACTGGAGATGCCGGCTTTGACAATATTCAGGCGATATTTTCTACCCGTAAGACCCACAGCCAGGGAGACGGGTTCAGGGCTGTTTTGGAAGGATCCTCAATGGGGCTTCCCTTCTGGAAGACAGCAACATATAGAGCCAGCTTTTAAAAAGTGCAAACTATGACCCAGAAGTCCAATGTCTGTAGGTTTCTCAGTAGGAAGCATTTGGAGGAATTTGCAGTCTGATTGATTTTAAAGCTGTACATGCCATCAAAGGATGTTGACAAAAATTACAAATAGCTGTTAAACTCCTGAAAAGATGCTCAATCTCACACACAATAAGATAAATGCAAAATAATCTACAAATTTCCACCTAGTGGATGGCTAAAGATCCCTATCTAACAGTTCATAGTCCATGCCATGGGAAAAGAGGAGCTTTCACACATTGCTGGTAAAAGTGTAGTTTAGCGATGCTTGTTAGGAAGTCCAGGCTAGTGCCACTCATCAAAAGAAGTGCCAGTAAATTGAGAGACAACGTGTTTGGAGGCAAGGAAAATGTCTATATTCAGAAAACCAGGGAAAAGGATAGTTTTCCAAAAATAGTACTGAAAAGCCGTATGAGGAATAAAATGAATTGGCCCAAACTTCACACTATACACAAAAATTGATTACAGATACACACTGCAGACCTGAGTATGAAAAGTGAATAATGAGGTTTCTAGAAGAAAGCAGAATATCTTAATGACTTTGGGTTACGTAAGAATTTTCTTAAAGAGATTACAGAAAGCAGTCAAAAGGAAATAAAAAGAAAGTGGACTCCACTAATAGTAAGAATATCTTCATCAAAAGATATCATAGAGAGTGAAAAGGAAAGCCACAGAAAGGGAAAGATACTGTAATACATGTATCTTACAAATGCTTATATCAAAGGACTTACAAAGAACTCATATAAAATAATAAGAAAGCAAACAACCTTACAGAAAAATGGGCAAAACCTAGAATAGGCATGTGCCAAAGGTGATACCCAAATGGCCAATAAACGTTTGAAAAGGTCTGCACTAACTTCACTAATCACCAGGAAATTTCAAGTTAAAACTATAATATAACATTACTGTAACCATTACAATGAAAAAGATAGACAATACCAAATGCTGGCAAAAATGTGGACAGCTGGACCTCTCATATGCTGATGATATGAGAGCAAGTTTATACAACTATTTTGAAAACCTGTTTGACCTTCTAATAGGACATATAAACATATGCATATATATACATTCCACTACGGGTATCAGCTCAGCACAGATTTTGGTGGAAATAACTTCCTTCTCTTCTGTGTTTCTAAGGTAATCCCATGAAGATGTCCAAAAACATTTCATTTGCAAATTAATCCAGCCAGAAACAAAACAAAGCAAAACTCCAGTATAGTTTGGAGGAGAACACTTCATGGTCATTAAATGTGACTGTAATGGTGCCCTGCCCTGCTAATCTCCAGAGATAAACCAACTGTCCCCGCAGCTCTCGCTCCCTCTTCTGGTTCCTGAAACTTGGAGGCAGTTCTCAACCCACTGTCCTTTCTGTTTGGGTGGGTTCGCGCTACTGGAAACCCCTGGGACTTGATCCACCCACTCAGATCCCAGAAAAGAGGGCCCTGACCTATGGCATAACTGTAAGCATAAGACTTGACCCACTGCTGGCGGGTGCTAATCGCTGCATCTCCGTTTACAATTCAGAGGGTGTAGGTGAGAAAGCGCACTGGGGACCCCACAGCAACTGAGAGAGAAAGTGGGACTCTGGCCAGCTGCCTGTGGCTGGGGTCTGCGCCCTGGCAGGGCCGCAGCCGCGCACCCAGTGTTTGGGGCCACCAGCGTCTCAGCAGACTGTGTCTGAAGTCGCACCCCTCTCGGCCGCGCTCACAGAGACACACACGATCCAGGTGGTTCACAGAGGTTCAGGGCTGTGCCTGGCAACCTTGGGGCGGCAGCTCAGCTCCGACCTGCGCCCCCGGCTCTGCTTTGCCCTGAGCAGCTGGGAGACCCACGCTCAGACAGGAAGAAGTAACTTCCGCACCGCTCCAGGGATCCTCCTCTGGGGAGAAGATAGCATTAAAGGAGGTGGGCCTGGCAGCATGCTAAAAAGGGGCTTAAGTGGGCGGGTCCCTGGGCCTTGCTATAAGACTCGGTAGGGAGGGAGGATGGCAGTCCCAGCGAGGTCTCTGCTCTCCGCGCACTTTAGTCATGTCCCTAGATGGTGAGTCTGAGGAGGAGGTCTGAGGCTTGGCAGGAGGGCTGGGGAGCATGTCAGGGGTGGGGGTCTCACCTGGGGTGGTGGGATCTTTCTGATATTTGGAGCTGATCTTTGGAAAGAGGGGAGGCTAGCACACCAACCAGACCCTCAAAAGCCTTGAGGCATCAGGATGCTGGAAGGCGTGGGCGGTGGTGCAGTTTTGGGCTCAGTTGGGAGTGTGGAAAGTTCCTTGCTGCCCCTGGAGCTCTGAGGAGGGCAGGAGCTTCCCTTGCCTGGGCCTTGTATTTAACCTGTTTTTCTCCACGGAGTGAATCCCACTTTGAACCAAAGCACAAGTCAGTGGTGAGCCCAGCTCTGAAGACCCGGGGACTCAGAGTTAACACTGACTGGGAAGCTTCCCCTGGTCCCAAGTGGAAAGTAAAATGGTAATGTACAGAAAATCCCCAATGTTAGGCTTTTCTTCCATGAAATTTCCTTACATTTTGTATTTTGGCATCTCCTAACATTTGTGTATTTTGGGTCATAGCATGGGTAGTAGGTAAACGTCAGCTGGAGTCTTGGCAGAGACGACTATGCCCAGGCTTGTGTCTGGACATGCATTTCAAGTTGTCATTACAGCTTATATGGCAGGTGCCCCCAAATGGTTTGGGGCCGACTGGCTTTTGTGTCTGTAAGACATACGGGTGGGAGCCCCACGTTGGCAGCTGAGGGAGACTTGGAAGTAGATTCTGCAGGGGGCAAGGGGACCAGGGCTGGAATCTCAGGGGGGGCCTTGAGAAGTTTTTAGAGGGTCCCAGAGACATTCTTTCCCATCAGGTGTCTGCAGCCCGTACATGTATCTGGATAGGGAGCAGGTCTCAGGGGGACCTAAATTATCTGGGGCTAGAGACTAAAGTCTCTATACTGCACATATGTGTGTCTTTTCTAGGGCTCCAAGGCAGCCGCAGGCGGAGGAGGACCAAATTCAGCAAAACCCAATACGAGGTTCTTATTGAGGCCTTTGAAAGGGATCCATACCCTGACATCACCATGAGAGAAGAGCTGTCCAGACGAATCCAGACTGCTGAGTCTCGGATCCAGGTGAAGTATCAGTCTACTGTTTGGTGAGAGGCTGGGGCAGGGGAGAAGCCAGCTTGCACTGAGAGCAGGTTTTAATTCAGGCTTAAAAACCACTTTCGATTAATCCTCTCAATACCCCTTCGAGGTAGGCATTATCCTCATTCATGCAATGGGAAGATAGGGATCAGAGAGGTTTGGTGACTTAGGTTACAACTCTGGCAGGAGGTAGAGTCAAAACTGGTGGATTATATCTGTCAGATGTTTACCATGTCAACAATTAAAACTGAGAAATTTAAAAATATTCACAGATTCATTAAAATATGTCCATAATAACTCCACTGCATGTGAACTGAACCTATTTTTCAAGAAAAGCAACTGTTTTCTGCCAGCCAGAAAGTGTGTTTTCTGAGAGGAAGGGCAGGTGCTGGGTTTCCAGGTCAGCTAAGCCTTCTACCCATTGCCACGGGTCCAGCAGTCACTGGGAAATCAATCAGAAAATAGAATGAAAACTTTAAAGGCAGATCACATATGGGTGTGGAAAGAAAAGGGATTCAGCCTCACAGGGGTCCCCAAAGGGTTGTATGGGCCCCTGGGGTCCTGGATGATTGGGTCTGCTGGGTCTCAGCACTGGGGGCACACTGTGATCCCCCAGGGGGTGCTGGGTCCCACCTCCAGGAAGTCTGCTGCGATGAGTCTGGGTGCAGACCAGACTTGCCCTGGACGGAACCTGAGTCTGGGAGTGGAGGCCAACATCCTCAAGCTGTTGGGAAAGCCCCCTAGGTGACTCTGGTGTGCAGCCAGGACTGAAATATATGTCCTTTCCCACCACTCTTCAATCCCAGACTGCTGATGTCCCATCACAAAGTTTGATTCAGAATCTCTGAGAGTGGGCCAGGGTGGCGCAGAAGTCTGAACCACTAGGTGACTCTAGCTTGCAGACCTACCTGGAGTTTTACCCCCTACTACTGTCTAGGGCTCAGCCTGGGCCCAGGAGCTCTGACACCTCCCCAGGTGGTTCTTGGATTCAGCAGAGTCCAAGCCACCCGCAGCACCTCACCCACCCACCCACCCACCCATTTCCTAACCAGCCCCTGCTGAGGTGCTTGATGAGGATGGTGGAATTAACACATCAGAGGCTGCCAAAGCAGAGTGCGTGCCCCTTGAAGGTTTGCTCTGTGCTAGGTGCTGTTTAGAACTTCATTTTAAAAATGACCTTACCACACATCACAGCCCGGAGGAGTTACCAAAAGCACCCAGTATGTGGGCTGAGAACCTGGGCGGTGAGCTTGTGGGCCTTCATAGTTTTAGAAGCAGTACCTGAAACTACACTTTTCCAAATTAATTTCCATATCTTTCGTACAGAACCCCTGCGGTTCCAAACTTCACAAAGTGAACGGGGACACTGAAAAGCTTAGTGAGAGCCCCAGACCGATGTAGAGGCTTCCAAATGATTTGATGTAGTGACCTCTTGTCAATCAGCTGGTCTGGGGCACCTCCCTCTGAGGGAGGGGCAGGCAGCCCAACAGGATTGGGTCACAACCCTGAGGACTTGCCAGGCATTGCTTCCTTGAAGCCCCAAAGCACCTCAGACCTAAGGACTATTTCAGGACCACTTACAGACCAAGAACTGGCCTTGGAAGTTCAGTAAATGGTGTGGGGCATTCTAGGTTACATCTCAAGTAACTCCAGGAGCCAGGATGGGAAGCCTGAAGGCCCCTCTGGAGGCACCTGGGAGACCCTGGCTATTAGGCCTGAAGCAGTCAGATTTGTTGCTGCAGTTCTGATTAACATTTGCAGAGGCCACTGGGAGGGCAGTGGGATTAAGGCAGAGGCCCATACCCTGCCCTACCAGTGACTCGCAGGCCTGGGGCCAGGGTGTGTGCAGGGTTGGAGTTCCAGAATGCCACACTCTAGGCCTCGACCTTTGGGTATTTGTCTTGCAATTTGCAATCTGCATAGAGGATTTTTTTTTTTCTCTTAAGCAGAAAAATGTGTGGGGGGTTGTTTGCATAGTTCTCCTATTGCTGTATGGGGCCTTCAGGACTGCCTGGTGGCTGGGCCTGTAAAGAGGCTGCAGTCGTGTTCCTGGAGATCCAAGGGGAAGCCTGGCTGAGCCGAACCAGGTGGAGGTGGGAGAGCCCACTAGGAGAGGGATTAGACCTGGGGCTGTGGAACCACATCTCAAAAGCAGACAGAGGGGTGGAGGGAGGGGGCCTTTTGGGGAAGGAGGAGGGACTGCCTGTGTTTGGGCAAAGGAAGGGAGCCGGGCCCCACAGCCATGCTGCACCCAGGATTCACCTGGCCAGGTGACCCACAGTAGGACTGACTGAACTGGGGCAGAAGGCAGCCTTATCCACAGAGGCATCTGTCTTACTCTGAGTATCGGTGAGGAGCCCACCCAAAGCAGGGCGGCAGGGCTCCCGGACTGCTGGCAGGGCAGTCAGCCCCGTGCTGGGTTGGCAGAGCCTCAGGGCCATTGGAGGGGGAGCTTCTGCTTGAGGCACGCCGTGAGCCTGTGGGCAGGGGACACTGGGGCCCCAGTCGGAGGTGGCATCCTATGTATTTGCCTGGGGAGCAAATTTGTGGCCCATCGTGAGTTGGAAGGAGGCAACTGGGGTGGGGGTCACGGGGCTGACTCGAGGCCGATGGCTCAGAGGCCGTGGATCAGGATTCTGTTGTGGGCACCTCACATTTCCCAGTATGTTTTTAATACACATTTGATTATTTTGATCAATACTTGTTTAACAGATAATATATATATGTGCAAAAAAGGGGAAAGTCCTCAGGGCTTTAAAAAATTCTGCCTGAAAGTACTGGGAAGACTTAATTGTTTCCAAGTTTCCTGTTTTATTTTTCCCCAGCTTTATTGAGATAACAATGGACAGATAACATTATATAAGTTGAGGGCATACAGCCTGTGGATTTCATACCTTTATATACTGAAAAACGATCATCCCCAGCTTAGCTACCAGCCCCATACCATCACAGTTATTCTTTTATGTGGTGAGAATATTTAAGATCTACTCTCTGAGCAGCTTTCTAGTATATGATGCATATTAGCTATAATCACCTCGCTGCCTGTGCATTGGGTCCCAGAGCCTGTTAATCTCATCACTGGATGTTTGCACTCTGGGTCAGCTCCTCCCTGGTTGCCCATCCTGTGGATGCTTATTTGAAAGGCTTTCTGGATAATAAGAGAGTGAATCACGGTTAAGAGGGTTGAGAAGAGAAAACAGGAGCCAGTGTGCCTGCGTGAGTGCGGGTGCAGGGCGAGCACTCTGGGGAGATTTGCCCAGAAGGTAGGTCAGGCCTCACAGTGAATGGTGGTTGGAGTCAACCTAGTAAGGATTTTGCATTTGTTCTAAGCTTTAACAGGAGTCACTGACAGCTGTTTAACCTTAGGTGACAATAACAGTGCTGGGCTTCATAAGAAAGTGTCTTTTCTCTCTCCCCACCTGTCTTCTGCTCCTCACCACCGGCCCCCTCCTCACCAGGTGTGGTTCCAGAACAGGAGAGCTCGAATGCCAAAGAGCACCCAGAGGAGGCCCATTGTGGAGGCTGACGCCCTGGCTCCAGAGCCCACCCAGGGTGCTGTCTGCACCCCCAGCTGTTCTTGCCAGCGAGGATGTCTGGGGGTCCCGAGCAATGCTTGCTGTGTCGCCTGGGAGCCAGAGGGTGCTCCTGGTCAGGCCACGCTCTTGGGACGTGCTGGTGTCCTGAGCATGAGCATGGCCTGGCCTGGCCTAAAGACGCTGGCCAGTGTGCCGGGGCCCTTCGGGGACTTCTGTCGCTCCCATGCCTCAGGCTTCAGCCCTGCAGCACTGTGTCCTCTTCCTGCTCCCCAACAGCCCTTCTCACAGCTGGAAGCTGTTGGAGATTCTGGCCTGGTGTGTGGAGACCAGGCCCTGCAGGGATGGGGGCAGCTCTCCCCCTCCGGGGAACAGCAGCCATGGTGGGGCTGGCAGCCTCCGCCCGCTCTGCCGTCAGGGATGGTGGCCCAGCAGCCACTGTCCCAGACCCCTCTGCCTGGGGAGCATAGGCTGCACCCGGCCTCTCCGTCTGCCCTAGCTTCCCCTCCAGCCTGTGGGGGCAGCTGCCCGGAATCAGGAGCGGTTTGCATCCCTCCTCTGTCGGCAGGACTCTGGGGGGCAGTCCCCGGGCACCTGGCCCCTGCCACCACAGCTGCAGGGGCAGCATCTGAAGGTAGGTGCGGTGGGTGGCAGGCAGGTGAAGTCAGCTGTGGCTCATCTGTACTTTAATACTAGGCAAAGTCATAAAGGAATGAGAAGATTGTGCACTTCCTGCAGAGAGAGCCCCCTGCAGTGTACGTCTTGGGAGTGAAGTGGCCACACGGAGGGACATGTAGTGCAGAGGAAAGAGGCAGGCACAGGGCCTTAGATGGGAGAAAAGGGATTTGCAGAAATACCTATGTCCCGCCTTTTATTATTGAGAAGCATGAGCACTTACAATGTCCTGTGAACTCCTGGAAGGGGCTCAGGAGCGGGAGGGCAGCCTTTGGCGGGGGTTGGGGGTGGGTGTCTAATGAGCAATAAAGTGTGAGCATTCAGACTGGCCATTTCTATGCTCCTCAATGCACCCACCCCCACCACTTGGCTATGCCTGGCCTTCACAGTGCTCCATGGCCTGTCCCCTGCATGTCCCTGTGTCCCACCCTGTGGCTCTTACTGAATGCTGACCCTGTCCCTGGCACTGGGCAAACTGTTCCTGAAAACAAGCCCTTCTCTCCCCACTTGCCCCTCAGGGCCTAGTGCAAATTGCAAGCCGGAGATGATGGGTCTGGATAGAGAAGAATTGGGAGGGTCTCTCCGGTTCACACCATGTAATCCGGGCCCCTCCAATGTCTACTGGCCACCTACAGAGGGAGAGAGATGCTGAGAGAGAGGGGGTTGGGAGTTAGCCCGCATGGGGTCTCCTGCTTGGCCATGAGGGCTGGCGGGGTCCCTCCCTCATGGTTCGGGGAATCATAAAGACCTCTCTCATTCACTTGAGAGCCTATACCTTTCAGGTTGCAGAGAAACAAAGGTTAGCTTTCCCCTATTTATAAATAAGGATCTGTGTAAGGCAGGTGGATTTGAGGAGATCCAGTTCGCCACCTTCTGAATTGGAGGAAACCAGGCTGGGTGTGAAGGCTGGTCCACAGAAATGCTGTCAGTCACATTCCACCTACCTTGCTACCTCACCATTCCATGAAGCAAAAGGCTGGCACTCAAAAACCATCAATCCTTCATCCCCTACCTGTCCCCTTTGTCAGGTAAGACCTGGAGGGGCCCCTCCAGCCTGAGTAGTGGAAATTGGATCTATGTGAGCACCATGGGCTCAGCACACCGTCCCAGAGTCCCCTACGCCTGGTTTCCTTCCCTGAATGACAGTCCCAGCTGCCTAGGGGTGTGGCTCCTACCAGAAGGCTCCTGGAGGGCAGAGCCTCAGGCTGCCCTGTGCATCTGGAGGTTGTCAGGCCCTGTCCTTCTGTATCTGTCCTGGTGGGGGGATGTTCTGGAATTTCCAGGCCAAGCTGCATGGCAGGGGATACAGCAGCTGTCCTATCCCCAGGAATTGGGTGAAGGTGTGGCTGCCCACTGAGCTAAAGGCTAGGGTTTTCTCTCAGACTTCCTTTCTGTCTCTTAAATGCCTTACGGTGTGTGAAATCCACATTGGAATGTATTGACAAATACTAATTGGCCTTTGCTATGTGCCAGGTGGTGGTAGGGATGAAAGACAGAAGATAACTACTCAACAGCCATTTATTGTATACCAAGGGGGAAGCCCGGCTCTGATTCCACCTGTGCTGGGACGCAGATTAGGCTTCAGCCCTTCAAACTTCCTGTAGCTGCAGACCAATTAAAAGCAGCTGCCTTTCACTGTCTGTTTTTCTTCTCTTTGCAGGTAATCTGTCCTTGCCAGGAGGAAGGTGTGTAGGGAATTGGTATTCCATGGGAAAAGGTGCCTGCCTGGAGTCAAGTCTTGGGGTAGTGTCTCCCTGATTGTAGTCAGCGGCCTGCTGTCCTGCTCCCAGGCCCACCCCACAATCCTGTGCCCATCTGCCAGGGCACCTGGTCAGAGAAAGCCTCAGGGTGGGGGTAGAGCCTGAAGCAGGACTGGGGTTAGTTCTGGCCACTTTCTAGACACCGGGCAGGGTGGTAGTTCTTCTTTGAGCCTAGTTTTGATTCCAGCATAGTGTATGAGTGCCCCCAGGCTAGGATGATGGTTGCAAGCATAAAAATAAACATGTGACAGAATAGAGACTGCCCTACCCTTATACAGGAGAAAGTTACCACGGCAAAACTGGAAGGACAAATGGCAGACTAGAGGAACACTAGAGCATTTATACGACTCGCACCCCCAAAAGTGTACCTCCAAGGGGTAATAGACATGTTTAAAAAGTTCTAAACTTAAAAACCAACTTTAAATCATGAAATGCCGTCCTTTACCTGTTATATCAGATTAAAAATGAAGATATTGTCAAATACATAAGGATCTGCATAAGAGCTTTGTTCATAACTGTAAAAATCAGGGAAAATTTGCAAGGTAGAACAGAAGTGGAATGGTTAATTATATGGGTCTTCTGGAACACGAACCGGTTTCAAACAATGTCCTAGATGAATATTTAGCCACATCCAGTCCTGTTTTCAACATCTGGGCAAGAATCATGTGTCTAAACTAAACCCTCCATGGGGTAAGACTGAGCAGGTAATCAGCCATATCCAACTTCCTTCTGTTTAATCAATCTGTCCACCAAGTTATAAATGCCCTTAAGGGTACATCAACACTGCTCAGAGGGGTCACTTAACTTCTGAAATGCCCCGGTGCTGGTTTGACTCAGTACACACTGGGGGTGGTGAGGCAGGCCTGGGAGAGAACCCGTCGCCTGAGCTTTGGCGGGTTAGGGGCACCGCTGGGTTTGCTGGGCCAAACCAAGGCCAAGGGAGCCTTCTCCCCCTTTTCTGCCCTCAGGACACATGTCCCAATACCTGGGATGCCATCACTTCTGGGAATGTCCCCTTATGTGTACATCTTGGCAGGCCCCTTCCCGGAAGGTGGAGAACAGGGGTTGACCAGCAGGGACAGCAGGCAGTGGAGGCCCCAGATGCGCACCTGCAGAGGCAGGAAGCTGAAAGCCAGCAGGTTTTCTAGGGAGTACACATAGCGACTCTGAGGGGTGCAAACAGGCCTGGGACTCCCTGGGAGGCCCTCAGTGCAGCTTGAGTCTGTGGATGAGACAGTCTGCTGTGTGCAATCACTGTTGCCTGCCTGGTGGAGAAAAGCGGAGAGGCCTGCGGTGTGGGTGCCACGGGACAAGGGTGGCGGGGAATTTGTGGGCAGGCAGGGAGTGCCAACTTGGGGTTCATGATCCTGTGGCTGGCAGTTTAGGAGGATCAGCACAGGAAAGCACAGAGAGGACAGGATTTCTGCCCAGACACACAGCTTTCCATCTCAGAGCTGTCTTCCCAAGGATGATCCGAGTCTCTCCCACCTGCTGACCCCAGACCACACATATTTTCCCAGTGCACAGCCCTGCACTCCTGCCCCTTCCTCAGCTTTGTCATTCTCCCCTCCTGCCAGTGCCCTTCATCCAAGCCTGGGTGTCCAGAACCCTCTGCTGGCTGTGACTGCAGAAGCAACTGGAAGATCCTCACCCTTTTTAATTCTTTTCCCCCTTTATTTCTTTATCTTCTGAAAAAGGGAGCTACCTCATGCCCATCTCTTCTTGTTGAGTCAAAAGAGGTTATAGTGCCATCATGTCTCCTAGTCCTGGAGATCCTGGGGATCAGAGAGATAGGGGGGAGGGGTCTCCCCAACTTCCCAGAGACCCTAGTCTCTCTGCCCTGCCCCAAAGGGCTTGGAACGCACAAGGCAGGTGATGGACTTCATCCTGTCTGGGATTTTGAGAATGCAAACAATGCCATTTTTACTGCAGCAAGTCTCACAAGAGGGGAGTGTTCTAGGTAGGCAGGCATTGGGTGACACCTCTGCCAGCTCCCTTTTTTTTTCTTAATTTTCTTATTAAGGTATTATTGATATATACTCTTATGAAGGTTTCACGTGAAAAATAATATGGTTATTACATTTACCCATATTATCAAGTCCCCACCCCATACCGCAATGCAGTCACTGTCCATCAGTGCAGCAAGTTGCTGCAGATTCACTATGTGCCTTCTCTATGATACACTGTTCTCCCCATGACCCCCTCACACCATGTGTACTAAGCATAATACCCCTCAATCCCCTTCTCTCTCCCTCCCCACCCGCACTCCCAAACCACTCCCCTTTGGTAATCACTAGTCCCTTATTGGAGTCTGTGAGTCTGCTGCTATTTTGTTCCTTCAGTTTTGCTTCATTCTTATACTCCACAAATGAGGGAAATCATTTGGAACTTGTCTTTCTCCACCTGGCTTATTTCACTGAGCATAATGTCCTCCAGCTCCATCCATGTTGTTGCAAATGGTAGTATTTGTTTCTTTCTTATGAATGAATAGTATTCCATTGTATATATGTGTCACACCTTCTTTATCCATTCATCTCCTGATGGACACTTAGGTTGCTTCCATATCTTGGCTATTGTAAATACTGCTGTGATAAACATAGGGGTGCATATATCTTTTTGAATCTGAGAAGTTGTATTCTTTGGGTAAATTCCAAGCAGTGGGATTCCTGGATCAAATGGTATTTCTATTTTTAGTTTTTTGAGGAACCTCCATATTGCTTTCCACAATGGTTGAACTAGCTTAC